CTAAAAAATATGTGTGTGTGTGTGTGTGTGTGTGTGTATAGGTATATGTATACTACCAGGCATGGTGGCTCATGCCTGCAATCCCAGCACTTTGGGAGGCCCAAGGTGAGCAGATTACCTGAGTTCAGGGGTTTGAGAACAGCTTGGCCAACATGGTGAAACCGCATCTCTACAAAAATACAAAAAAAAAAAAATTAGCCAGGCATAGTGGCATGAGCCTGTAGTCCCAGCTGCTCAGGAAGCTGAGGCAGGAGAATCGCTGAACCTGGGAGGTGGAGGTTGCAGTGAGCCAAGATTGCACCACTGCACTGGTCAACAGAGCAAGGCTCTCTCTCAAAAAAATTTTTATGATGGTATGCCAACTTCTATCATTTACAAAAAGAGTGATTTCACTTGCCAATGTAATAACATGTACTTTTAGAAATCAATTAGAAATAATGGAAATTTCAAATTTTTTAGAAGACCAATGTTATAAAATGCTCAATTGGTATTAGTTTTCAACTTTTTGTAACTGTGTATGGTCAAAATTGGATGAGTCACTGAAACACATGTAAGACATATTTCTAAAAGCGCATTTATGGCATGCTTCTTTCCATGCTATGTGATGTATCTTACTGAAATCCTGGCTATTCTCAATTTATCATGCTACCACATTCACCATGGCTCCAGAATTATGGGTTTAGTAAACAGCATCCTTCCAGTCTGTGTGCAGTGGCTAGCGTCTGGAATCCTAGCACTTTGGGAGGCTGAGGCAGGACGATCATTTCAGCCCATGAGTTCAAGACCAATGTGGGCAAAACGGTGAGACTCTATCTCTACAAAAAATACAAAAAATTAGCCAGGCCTGGTGGCATGTGCCTGTAGTCCCAGCTACTGTGGAGGTTGAAGTGGAGGACTGCTTGAGTCTGGGGATTGAGGCTGCAGTGAGCCATGACTGTGTCACTGCACTCCTGCCTGGGTGACAGAGTGAGACCCTGTCTCAGGGGAAAAAATAGCATCCTTCGTATCTTAGAACCGATAAGCAAGAGTTGTACATCATGGAAAATAAACAAATCTCAATAATTAGAAAAAAATCCTACTTTCTCAATTTGCCTAGAAATTATTTGAAGATAGAGGCCTTCTTTTATTCACATTTCAAGACCCTTTGGCAGGATGAATGTGTGCCCCAAAGAGGATATGTTGAAATCCTAACCCCCAGTACCTCACAGTGTGCTATTATTTGGAAATTTAATTTTTGCAGATGTTAAAATGAGGTCATACTGGAGTGGGGTGGGCCTAAATCCAATATGACTGGTGTCCTTATAAAATGGTTATGTGAAGACACAGACACATAGGGAGAATGCATATGAAGACCGAGACAGAGATTAGAGTAATGCCAGCACAAGGAATGCCAGGGAGTGCTGCTGTCACCAGAACCTAGCAGAAGCATGGAACAAATACTCCCCCAGAGCTTTCAGAAGGAATCAGCACTGCTGACACCCTAATTTTAGACTTGTAGCCTCCAGAACTGTGAGGCAACAAATTGCTGTTTTTACAAGCTACCCAGTTTGTGGTACTTTGTTATGGCAGCCTGAGGAAACTGATATAACATTTAATGTTCATGTTGAATTGAATTGCTGTTACTTCATAGAGAGAAAAGTTAGGCAAAATGCACTGATCCTATTTTTTAAATTTCTTTTAGAAAATCTGACCATGTGTATCAAGAACCATAAAAATGACCATACTTGCCGACAAAGTAATTCTGCTTCTGGAATAGTATCATAAGAAAACGATTCCCAATTTGTAAAATGATACAGCTGCAAAGATAAGTATTATTCCAACTTAGCTTGTTTATAATTTGCTGCTAATATACTTGTCAAACAATAGAATGTTAGTTAAGTAAATTAATTATAATTACTAGAATACAAACAATATGAGTTCTAAAAATTACAAAAGATGAAAAATGCTTACTAGGTGTTATATATGGGAAACACAGAATACTAAAAAAAATTATTTTCCTTTTTTTTTGAGACAGAGTCTTGCTTTGTCACCCAGGCTGGAGTGCAGTGGTGAGATCTCAGCTCACTGCAACCTCCGCCTCCCAGGTTCAAGGGATTCTCCTGCCTCAGCCTCCTAAGTAGCTGGGACTACAGGCATGTGCCACCACATCCAGCTAACTTTTGTATTTTTAGTAGAGATGGGGTTTTGCCATTTTGGCCAGGCTGGTTTCAAAGTCCCGACCTCAGGTGATATTCTTGTCTCAGCCTCTGAAAGTGCTGGGATTACAGGTGTGACCCACTGTGCCCATCCTGAGAATACTAAAATTCTATATAGAGTATGATGTAGAAAAATATGCATAGAAATAAAAAGTGAGAAGATAAAGGCAACATGGTTAAATATTCATTGTGGTAGAATTATGCTCAGTGGATCAGAACTCTCTTCTTGGCTCCCTGAGCTTATCCTTTTGGTACCAATTTCCAGTCTTATTTTCTCCTCCCCTCAAGCCTCCCCACGCGAAACCAATTCTTTCTTAGCAATGTCCCTCGGAAGCAGTCCAGCCTTATCTGACTATCGATCTACAGCCAGAATAATACAGTCATTCTACTGCTGAATACATCTACTGTGTTAATATGTCCATTTATGTTTTATGTACTTTTATGTATATGCTGTATTTTTCAATAAAAAGTTTTCTTTAACTTCCTGTGTTTTCATATTTTGTTTTGTCAAGATAAGGATAAATGGTTCTCTGCTGATTTGCCCTGCTTCGTTATACCTCTAAAATTAATGTTTCATCAGGACAGCTAGGTACCTGTTTGTGACAATGGAGTGAACACAGGCTTTTCTCCCTTCATCTACAATGTCTACAGTTCCCCCACATCTACCAAGGCAAACTCCTGTTAAGGAGTAAGCCTGTAACACCTGCTTAAAAATTTCCACCATCATCAAAACCTGCCTGATCTATGTTACCAAAATTTATACTGTATCATATTCTACATTTAATTTATCAAGCAACTACTAGTTATAAGGCCTAAAGATTTAATGTCCTAAGCTGCCTGCAATCTTTTTGTGGAAAGCAAACATAAAAAATGATAATGAACAGTAGAAAAGGGCATATGATATGTTCAGGGTGGGGAAGAAGGAGAGTGGTGAAGAGAGGATGGGAGTGGGTGAGACTGATAAAGGCTATAAGAGACCACGTAAAAATTGGATAGAAGATATTTCACAACTAGAGAGGAATGGCATGAGACAGGGCACCTTGGAGACCAGGATAATGGCAGGACCCTTAATGGAAATGAGTATCTAGAGTTGTTCTGGGGAAAAGCCAGGCAAGTACAAGTGAAATTTTACCATGTGCACTGAGCGGTATTACACTAAAACCGAAGATGTGGAAAGCACAGAATCTTAAGCCAGATAAGTACAGGCGAGAGATGAAGTATCGAAGTTCTGTAGATCTATTTTTCTTAAACAACAACAAAAAAGTGGGGGGGGGGTGGAGGGTGTGGGAGCCTAAACTAGTATAAAGACACATAGGAAGGAAAAGAGGGACCGGAGATTGACAGCCTGGTCAACGATGCCTGAAACAGCACGGGACTTCAGAAATTAAGGACGAGCAAAGGAACTCTAGCTTCAGTGCTGGAGACAGAGCCCCAGAGTTGGACTCTCCTACTGCTGAGATGGGTGTGGCCTTCAGCATATTACTTAACCTCTCCGTGCCTCAGTTTCCTCATCATTAAAATGAGAATAATATTAATATCTACTTCACATGATCGCTGTGAAGATTAAAAGCTTTAACACAAGAACTGAGATCAGTGCCTGGCACTGATAAATGTCTGCAACTGGGTGAGGGATGGATTTTATTTAGTTCTCGGTGACCCTGGGGAGACCAATTTCTGATCAGCAGTACGAACGGAAACTACAAAGAAAGGGAATGAATAAGCAGGTGCGTGAGAAGGCGGAGGTATCCGTGACTGTTTGGGAGCAGGTAAGCAATAAAAGTGAGTGAATAAGGAGTAATCCGAGAGCACAGGGCTAAGTAAACGTGATTTCCGAGGGGAGATCGAAGCAAGAGGCGAGGAACTCGGGTCTCTAAACTATTCTTTAGTCAGCGAGGGACTCATTCGCGCTGTTCCCAACACAGGGAGCAGGACAGGTGTAAAGAACCGATCCTTCCCATCCCGAGTTTCCCAGGGAGCTCCAAAGAGCGCTAGGTCCGTCTGGGGCGAAGTTTGAAACAGCGCTGACTTGAGAAAGCCCATTTCCCAACGAACGATACCCTGGATGACAGAACAACAGGCTTTCCTGTTTCCATCTCCGGCACGACCTGTTCAGCGGCTCTGTACTCATCAGTCTCCTCCCGGCCAGCAGCAGCCAGCGGGACAGGATGCGGCTCCGGAGCCGGAGGGGCAGCGCCCCGCTCCCAGGGCAGCGCCCCGAATTCATCCGGCCGCGGGAGCCAAAAAAGCGCTCAAAAGGGAAGGAAGGAAACAGAAAGAGGTTCGAGAATTTGGGGGGTGGTAGCGAGGCCAGACCCCGGAGCTGGGAAAATGACCTCCGCGTCCAAGGTCGAGCAGGTCCTTCTCCCTCCTAGTCCCGCCGGCGAGCACCTCTGCCCCTCCCGCTTCGCTTCGCAGGGCCGGCGCCGCGCGGGACCCCAGTCCAGGCTCCGCTCCGCGGCGCGCCCGCCGGCCCGATCTTCCCTTCGAGATGCTGGCTTGAGGGGGCTCCCGGAGAGGGCGCAGGTGAGCACCGCGTCCCCGCGCTCCGGCGGAAAAGGGCCTCGGCCCTCCCCACGCGCAGGCGGAGGGGACACAACTTCCCAAGCGCCTCCTGAGCCCACGGAGGGCCTGGTCCGGCTCCCTGGGCCCCCGCACCCGGATGCCAATTCTCGCGCCGCGCCCAAGTTCCGTCACCCGGCCGCTCCCGACGCCGTTCCCTTGGCTCTGCCTCTCGCCCCCGTCTCTTCTCCTCCGCGCCCCGGGAAAGTTTGGCCCCTGCCCGCCGGCCCGGAGCCCCGCACTCACCGCACAGGGAGCGGAGCCGAAGCGCCGGGAGCGCGCGGGAGTGAAGGGCGGCGGCGGGCGGCGCGAGCGCGAAGCTCCTCACAGCGGTCCCTGCTGTCCCGGCCGCCGACTGGGCTGGAAAGGGGAGGAGGCCGCCGGGTGTCACCTGCCCGCTCTCCCACCCAGCCGCTGGACGCGCGCAGCACCGCCCCCTGCCCGCCGCAGCCAGGTGCCCGCCGAGGGCCGGAGGGAGGAGCCGGGGCGGCGCGCGGGGGAGCGGCCGGGAGGGAGGGCGGGGGCCACGCTCGCCCAGCCTCAGCCGCGCGCCCTGACGCTCCGGACTGGCGCCCACCGGCCGCTCCAGGCTAGCGGGGCTGGTCGTGGCACATTTTACTCTTCTTTCCGAGAGCGGATGCCATCACTTGGAGGACATCTCCAGGCCGACATGGCAGAGTGGAAATTGTCGTCATGCGTGTGTCATTTGGGAATGAGTTGTAGAAAAATCCGAAATTAGGAAAACCTAGGTGAGACTGAGGCTGAGGCTGGGGCGGAGTAAAAGGGGACTCCCTGCTCCTGAAAGGGTCTTGGGAGCGTTAATTCACATCTAAAATGGAGGCCAGACCCAGAGGAGAAGGCCCTGGGAGATGAAGGCCGACTTGGGTCTGCTCCATCCCCTCCTTATAACGAATAAGAAACTAGAGAATTGCTGCAGTCTGGGTGGGGGGCATGGGGAGAGGACTTTTAGAGCAAAGAAGAGTAGATTGTATATAATCTAACTTTGTTTCTGGTAACAGCAACTGCTGCAGGAACAAAGTCTGGCAAATTCATTTCTCGTTATCTACCGTCGGACTGGAATGGGGTGGGGATGAGCGTTCGGCGTGTGCTCCTGCGCTTGGTTTAATTATTTATTTTTTAAACGCCCCTGGCCTTGTGTCTGGTAATGATCCTTCTAATCGCTGGAATGATTTGGAGTCATGGCTTCAAGAGCTGGAAGGCAAAATAGCCCAGAGAAGTTCCCTGCTTCTGAGGCGAAACCAAAGGCTGGCATTGTGCTGTCCAGAAACCTAAAAATAAATAAATAAATAAATGACCATTTTTAGTTGCAGTCATGACCCAAGCACCTCACAAATGTGGGCTTTGTGTTGTGAGTTCTCAGCATGCAATCAAGAAACACAAAAGGGGGCGGGGAACATCAGGACAACCAGAGAGGATGGGTAGGGAGAAAAAAATCAGGGGCCAGAAGCATGTTTTCTTCACATGTAGGGATTGCCTTCAACAGCTTAATCCTACTAAATTGAACAGGAGGTTTTCATGTTTTATGTAAAACTTTGAAAGTGTCCATTGAAAGGAAAGCAAAAAAAAAAAAAAAAAAAAAAAAAAAGCTTCAATTGCAAAGAATCTCGAAGTCAAAAAAACTTTTCTCCTTCCTTTTAGATAACTTTGCTTTTATGTTAAAAAGAGATCATTTAGTAGATTTAGGAAGTCTTTTGGGAATAGGAGACAATTGCTTAATGATACTTGACTTTGAGTCTGTCACTATTTACCATTTATATATACTTAGGAAATTTCAAAATGCAGAAGTTCAAATGGATTCATTTATTTAACAAATACTGGAGTGCCGCTATGTTCCAGGCTCTGATGTTTCAGTAGATAACAAATTCCCCATTCTCAGGGACTGTACATTGATTCTAGTTGGAGATGACAGACAATAAATGAATAAAGAAGTAAAAAATGTAGTGTTCAGGGTTTGATAAGTGCTATGAAGAAAAATAAAGAAGGGAAGGGAATAGGGACTTCTGGAGGTGGGGAGTTATATTAAAGGTTAAAGTGGTTAGGGAAGGCCTCAGTGGAGCAGGAATTTCAGCCAAGATTTTGAACAGGTAAGGTGATACACCTGCATGCCTATCCAGTAACAGCATTCCACTCAATGGGAATGGCAAGGCTAAAAGCCCTGCAGGCATGGCCTGGGATGTTCCATTCATAGACCAGCAAAGAGGAGAGGTCAGCTGAATTACAGTGAGCAGGGACATAAGGACAGTAAGAAATGAGGTCACAGAGTTAAGGAAGCAGTTTGAGTAGAAAAGTGACATCCTTTGACATTTGAAAAAGAGTAATTTTGGCAACTTTTTTTGAGAACAGGGCATGGGGTATGGAGGAAGAGAGAAAGGGCAGAAGTAAGACAATAGATAATCAGGAGGCTCTTGGGAAATCCAGATGAGATAATAAAGGTGGCTTTGACCAAGTTGATGCTAGTGAAAAATGGTAAGATTTTAAAAATACATTCTGAAGGTAGTATCAACAGGATTTCCTGATAATTTGATATGGGTTGTGAGAGAGAAAAAAAGGAAGTCAAGGATGATTCCACAGTGTTTGCCTTGGGTAACTGGAAGAAAAGAATTGTCATTTACTGAAAGAAAAAAGAAAAACTGTGAAAGAACAAAGTAGAGATAAGGGCAGGTCAGGAGTTGTTTGGCATTGCTTTAATTTGAGATGCCTGTTACCTATCCATGGGATAGGTAAATGGGAATGAATGTCAAGTAGGTAGTTGATTACACCAGTCTGGAGGTCAAGAAAGAGAGGTGTGGGCTAGTAATATAAATCTGGATGTAGTCACTTTCCAGATGACACTGAAAGGCATGAGAATGGCTAAGAGCACCAAGAGTGAGACTAGAGAAGAGGTTATCCCTCCTTCCCCCATTTGCTAAAATCCCATACACATGGGTTCTGTGTTTAGGCTCTTGATTCCATTCCACTGTCTATGTGTCCTGCTTTATAATTTCTTTTTCTTTTACTATTTTGTATATATTTGAAAAGCAGCTGTCTTTCTTGTTTTCTTTTTTCCAATGAAAGCTATGGCAGGATTTTTATTTTGTCTTAAAGTTATTTAGGAATAATCTGTCATCTTTACGATATTGAGGTAACCCATCCATGAACATATATCTCCATTTGTGTAAATCTTCTCTTTTAATGAAGTTTTCATTTTCTCTCTCTTGGCCTTTCACATGTTTTATTATGCTTATTGTTAGGAACCTTATAATTATTGCCAATATTATCAATGGTTGTTTTTTTGTTTTTTAATATAGACAGGGTCTCACTCTGTTGCCCAGGCTGGAGTGCAGTGACCCAATCATAGCTCACTGCAGCCTTTGACTTCTGAGCTCAAGCAGTCTTCCAGCCTCAGCATCAGAGTAGCTAGGACTACAGGCATGCACCACTACAGGGGGCTAATTTTATAACTTTTTATAGAGACAGGATCTCTATAAAATGTTGCTCAGACTGGTTTCAAACCCCTGGTTTCAAGAGAACCTCCTTCTTCAGCCTCCCAAATTGCTGGAATTACAGGTATGAGCCACTGTGCCTAGCCTGATATATGTATTTTTAAATTACATTTTCTAATTGTAAATGTAAGAATGTTAATTTTTATCCAATCATTGTAAATCCTTTGTCTTTATTAAACTCTTAGTAATTTGTAGAGTGCCTTTGGTATTTTATTGAGGCAATATTATTGTGAATTGTGAATAATTACAATTTTATTTTTTTCACTGTATTTCATTCTTTTATATATATATATTATTGCATTTTAGGTTTTGGGGTACATGTGAAGAACATGTAAGATTGTTGCATAGGTACATACATGGCAGTGTGGTTTGCTGCCTTCCTCCCCATCACCTGTATCTGGCATTTCTCCCCATGTTATCCCTCCCCAACTCCCCACTCCCTGCTGTCCCTCACCTAGTTCCCCCTGACAGACCCTAGTGTGTGATGCTCCCCTCCCTGTGTCCATGTATTCTCATTTTTCAACACTCGCCTATAAGTGAGAATATGTGGTGCTTGATTTTCTATTCTTGTGTCAGTTTGCTGAGAATGATGGTTTCCAGTTCATCCATGTCCCTACAAAGGACATGAACTCATTGTTTTTTTATGGCTGCATAGTATGCCATGGTGTATATGTGCCACATTTTCCCTGTCCAGTCTAAAAATATGGAATGCTTCACGAATTTGCATGTCATCCTTGTGCAGGGGCCATGCTAATCTTCTCTGTATCATTCCAATTTGAGTATATGTGCTGCTGAAGCGAGCACCACTGTATTTCATTCTTTACGAGAAAATTGAACCCTGTCAACTTTTTACTCTATGTCAGTATCATATGGGTTTAACTTTTACCAGTGATTCTTAAACTTTACTGAGAGTCATAGTCCTTGGAATGTTATGCAAGTTCCTGAAAATTATTTTGAGATGCTGATTTAGTAAATCTGGAGAGTGAGCCAAGGAATGTGCATCTTAACACACACTGTATATGATTCTGTTAGAGTTGCTGAGATACCTTACATGTGACCTATCTCTTCTGAAATTTATCATTGCCTTCCCAGCTGAACCAGAAACCCTAAAGGGAAGATATTTTGTCTAATCTGTCTTTATATGTGTGGTGCCTAGGATATTAGCCTACAAACAGTGGGTGCTAAGTAAATATGTAGATGGCAAAAAGAAATTTAGAAAAGTTGTGGAATGTACTTTTGTGAGTTTCATATTTAAATGCTTTAAAATGTTTTCCTATGTTTTTATTTTATATAGATTTCATAATGATATTTCTGATGTCATCAGAGGGGGAACATAATTGCAATATGAAAGGTTAATTGAGTAAGTGACTATCAACCATTCCCTCATCTTGTTTCTTTACCTCAAGGTATCTGTAGCCTGCCAGACTTAAAGTCTTCATCCTTTTTTTTTATGGATTGAAATGCAAACTGTGAGTTTCAGAAAAATCATTTTCTTTCTGGTAATCCTGTTCACATATCTAAGATATATGTAAAATTTATATCTCCAAGGCAATGTGAGATACAGAGTGAGAACATCCCTTATTATGACAATCAATATAATTATTTTCCTATAAATCACAATTATTTGAAAATACTTTTTTGACTGTGAAGAATTTTTGACTGTGAAGAATTGCCACTTATTATGATCATGAAATTAAGTTTGCTCTGACTTCAGATATCATAAAAATGCTTTCTGTGCCAACTATATTATCTGAATGTTTATTCAATCAGTTTATTTTGGTATCACAGTTTTGTGAAGGCCAAATCTAACATAGTATCTGGTTAAAATTCTCATGTCCTACATTTCATGATAATAAACTGCTTTTCAAATAGGTAAAACTAT